TCCCCACACTCTGCCATTTCAAGGCTGTGGGGAGCACAGTGCTAGGCAGCTGTGTCTAGGAGTGGAGCAAGGAAGAATAAGTAGTAGTATCCGATCATATAGCTCAATATATCATATCAAAGACCATCCCAGTGCTTGTTTACATAGTCATACCCAATATAGAACTGGACTGCTTTAAGACCAGTCTTCAAAACAATAGTGTACCTAAGAGAATAAATTTTATTTCAAAAAGCCTTGGAAAGGGACATAAGTCTTACTGAGGTATCTTCAAGGGAGTTATACCACCTAACACAGAGCAAACCCTGCTAAAAACGTTCTTCGGGCACTTTTCTTCCCCAGTCCCTGACACCATGACAGTTACTCCCCACAAATACCTTTCCTATTTCAAGTTCCGGCTTGCTTCTCTCTTACCCTGTCCTCTTGTGCCCCCTAGATCTGTTCTGAGAGGTGCTCCCTGCCTTCTTTCTTGTAGGTCAGCGGTACCCCATTTGGTACAACCCAGGACTGGAGGCTCCTTAGGAGGCAGGGCAGAGGGCAAGGTGGAGAAGAATTATACTTTGATATTCCTATCATGTTACAAAATGCTTTATTTTTTAAAATACAAAGAAAATAGTTTTATTTGTATAATAAAGACTAAGAAACGATGATATAGTAAAGTTAACAGAGTCGATGTCAATACACAAATAGGTTTGAAAAGCTGTAGGTAAAATGCTTTATTTCTACCTGCAGCGGAACTCCCCGTGTAGGAGACCAGCAACTTCCCCATTGCGCTGTCTCCCAGCAGATGGCAGCCTTCTCCATCAGGTGGCTTGGAGCACAGGCCCCATCATCCTATCTGTTAGCTAGCGACCAGGCAACGTGAGCAATATGGTTATGTGCTATAAAATAAAATATAAACATTTAAAGGGCATGATACAGCCATATGTTCAGGGGATCTCTTAGACAGAGATGCTATTAATCATTTTGCTCAAAATCCTTTAGGGGCTTCTTCCTGTTATTTATTTCACTAAATTCTTAACCTTCCCTAATAGTCTCAAAATGTAGTTTTTATAGTTGGTTTGTTTGAGTTAGGCATCAAACAAGGGCCACACATTGCATTTCAGAGTTATGTCTCTTCTGTTATTCTTCATCATTAACCTTTATCTTCTCTTCCTTTTAAAAACACCATTCGTTTGTTTAAAAAAAATGGGTAAAATATCCCATATTCTAAATTTGATTTGTTCTTCTGATGTCTTAAACTTGTTCTTCTAGCTCCCCTATTTCTTGCAAACTATGTAGATTAAGTGAAGGCTTGCTTAGATTCAGAGTAAACTGTTTAGTGCAAGAATTTTTTCATAGGTGGCATGTGCATTTCGTCTTATATCACGATTCAAGGCACATGGTGTCTGGCTCTCCCATTTGTAGTGGTTCTAAGATTGATGAGTGGGTTCAGGTTAGGTCAGCTTGATCCCTCTATTATAAAGTTCCCCATCTAACTTTCATTGAATGATTTTAGCAACCAGTCTCACTCGTTGCCTAGATTCTATTATTTTATTAGGGGTAAGCTAGGGCCTCTTTTGAACCTATGTTTGATGTTGTCACTGCAAATTATGTTACAAGCCATCAGAACCCATTCATGTAATGTAACAATAAGTACTTGTTTAAAAAATTTCATGCTGTAGGTGTACTTTTATGTTCACAATAGAATCACTGTATTTTTTGTTTTGTATTTGTTTTTTGCTTTTTGAAATGATGTTCAAAGCTTGTTTACAGCAACATCCAACACTTAAGATTATAAGACCATATCCCCAAGAATAATGACTAAACCTGTTATCAATTTTTTCACCTCTCCCCTCTTTTTAAATACTAATTTTTGTAGGGAGAGCTCTATAATTATTTTATTCTAGCATTTTTTAAATTTGTTTCAAGCTAATATGTTTTCCTGGACTGGCTCTTTGTTGGGAAAATCAAGTAATTGAGAAAGTGTCTCATGAGATGGGTTGTTGTAAGAGCTTGTATACAAGGTAAACTCCTCTTTTCTGAGGCATAATTTGGGGGAAAGGATTTGCCATATATTTAGTCATTCGTGGCACTTTACTGGAAACTTTCTTATTTTTTTAATTTAACTTGGTTTTATGAGATACATATATTAAGAGTAAAGTTTAAAAAAGGAAAAAAAGTAAGACAATAGGATTCTCTTCACCTTTCCATTATCAAGTCTGATCATTTATTTTATGCCTGTATAACACCAGTGAGACTTCACAAGAGAAATTTCTTTCAGATTTCAATATTAGGAAAAGTTGGTGGTTTTTGCTTTCGATGATAGAATGCTCAGGTACAACTATACTGGACTGTATTATATATTTTTTTATTTGTTTCATTTTATTTTTCTTTCCCTCCTCCCACCACTATTTTTCTACTTCTGTCTTTGAACTTTTCATCTTTAAATAGATAATATCCTATTGTAGTGTATGTGTTTACATAAGCAAACAACCCTTTTTTAGAAATGGAGGGATAAATACATAAATAAATCAATGAAAATACATGTGAGTACATGTTTACAATTAAGTTTTCATTTCACTAATTTTCATAGTTGGAACCCTTAGTAGTAAATGTTTCCTTAACAACTGCTTAGACTTAGCAGTTACTTAAAGAAATGTTTTCTTATTCACAAGAATATAAACAGAATCTTAATTCTTGAATTTCTAGGATTAATAATAGCTATGATGTGTTGTGTATTTCCTATGTTTGGGTACTATGCAGAGTGCTTTACATGTATTATCTTATTTAACTTTCACACAACAACCCTGTGAGGTAAGAACATGAGAAAACTAAGGTACAGAATGCTTAGTAAACTTGCCCAAGATCAGAGGTTACAGCCAGGAGTTGGTTCCAGGTAGTCTGATTCCAGAGCCAGCGGTCTTATCCATTAAACAATAAGAGTTGTCCCCAAACTTTTCTGCTTCAAAGTGCTAGTGCCTGTGTCCCACCCCCAGAAGTTGTGATTTGATTGCGCTGGGGCTTGGCCTGGGACCTGCAATTTTAAAAGATCCCCAGGTGATTCTAATGTGCAGGCAAGTTTGAAAATCTTTATAACACTGCTTTGCTTGGGACATAAGCTACCAGTGGCCACATGACAGCTGTTCTATCCTACAATTGGTGAGATAACATAAAAAAAATGTGTTTATAAAATAAATAGTGAAAGTTCTATAATACTTTAGGAGAAATTATAGCATGAAAGGGCAGTAGGAAAGAGCATTATTCATTCATATGCTCAGTATTTGTAGGGGTTTTATAAACATTGATTCAGTATTATACTGGCTCTCTGACCTGTGTATAAAGCTGGGAACCATGCTTGGTAATAACACATGAAAGGTCTACAGAGCAAGTGCTGCGTCTTTCATGGGTAACAGCATGTCTGGGCACAAGGGGCATTTTCATAGACTACTCTCCCCTTTTCCTTAGGTTTGAGTCAGTTTAGCCCTAAAAAGTACAATGATAGAAAATATCCAAATTCAAAAATTTCATTTACTTTTTTTTTTTTTTTTTAAGTTCATAGCCTATCTCCTACTAGGCTTTAAACTCCTTGGGAAGAGAGACCACATCTTACTCATTTTTGTTTTCTCAGCACCATGTTGCACATAGGAGAAACCTGATTGCTGTTTCCTACAGTGCTCCATTGCAGCCATTGATACACTGAAGTTGTAACTAATAATTGTAATTCAGTCATTCATAGACTATCTGCATCTACTATATGCAAGGTGCTTTATATATATATATATATATATATATATATATATATATATATATATCATTAATCTTTACAAACACCCACCTATTACCCTCCTACCTGAGAAGGGAAAACTGAGTCTCAGAAAAGTTAAGTAATTTGCCTAAGATTGTACAGCTGAGTAAGTAACAAAACTGGGATTCAAGCCATGTCTGTCTGATAGCAGAGCACAACCACTGTCCTTAACCCAAAACAGCCCAGAGGGTAGAAAATATTTCAAAACTCTCAGATGTGATTAAAAACTCCCAAGAGGAAATTATCAGGAACAATCTGTCATTATGAGGCTTTACTTATAATAGGCATTTGGATAAGTTGGCCTATATGACCTCCTACATTTTTCCACATTAAATAAAAAAACAACTTCTAAACATGATTTTTAACTTGCTTAATCATTTCTTCTGTTTGAGACATTTCAGATGTATCCAGTTTTCCACTGTAAAAGATGAACATTTTTATGCATAAATCTTCCAACACTTGGAATTATTTCTTTAGGGTACATTTTTAGAAGTAAAATTGTATTAAGGAATATAAGCATTGCTGTCTCATACTGCCAAATTATTTTTCATAAAGTGTACTAATTTAAATTTCTACCCACAGTACATAGAAGTACTCATCTCATCTTATTCTTCCAGCATCATCTTTTGCAAAAATATTTTGCTCATTTGATAGTTTACAAAATATCTCAATTTTTATTTGCCTTGTTTTGATTACAAGCAAGTTTGAACTTTTTCTCATATTTTTATATATGAATTTAGTTGCTATCCTTTGTCCATTTACCTTTTGATACCTACCTTAGTGTTTTTCTTGTTTATCTATACTTTTATACTACTCTTCAAATATTAAGACTATTTTTATCATATTTGTTGCCAAATATTTTTCCAAATTTTTATTTCCTCTTCAAGTTTTCATTTTTGACACACAGAAGTTTTAAATACTTCATTCTATTTACATTTTTCCTCTATATTTTTTTGTCACCTGTAACTCATATTAAAATCCAGTGATTAAGTAGATAGTCTCTTATTTTTGCTCTAATTCAATTAAAAAAAATTTAACTCCTCAGTTTACCTGTGGTTTATTTTGGTATATGCTGTGACATATTTGATGTAATTTGGCCATTCTCCTAAATAGTTATTTTTCCTAGCTCCTTTCTTCATTGATTTGTCATGCTATCCTTTATCATATCTTTGAATCTTATAGAATCTAATTTTTACTTTTACTTTTCTTTCTGCAGATCCTGGTCCCTGTGACTTTGTAAGGAAATGGTAAGACCATAGTATAGTACTATCCTCCCAGACTCTAACTAGTGGGCTGACCTTGCTGGATGGGGCAGACTCAACCTGGGGCATTTGAAGTGAAAGCCATTTTGGGGGTTTTGAGACAATTCCTGTGATTTCCCTTTGTCATAAGGCCTTTTTCTAATGACAATTCCTGTGGGGAAATAAGTGAGAGAAAGTGATTAAGAAGTGAAGAGGGGAAGGAGATTGCGATGTAGAACTCTCCTTATATTCACTCAGTGTTTTACTTTGCCTAGGTGTCACACACTAGGACTGAACCTTGGGATTCTGCATTAATGATCTCTTGTAACAGATTTTGTGAATCTCTAGGTCACTGTATCCCAATCCCTCTTGCCTCTAATTCAAGTACAGTAGCTAATGAAATTTCAAGAAAGTTTCTTCTATATATACAAAAAAGTGATGTGTGTGTGTGTACATACATTATACAAAATAAGGCCTTCTGAAAATAGATACTTACTCTTGGTTTGGCTAAGATATAGCTAGAAGAGGTAACAGAATAGAATCATTAAAGAGAAATACCAAGGACTTGTATCATTGGTTCATATAGATGACTAATAAATGCCAGGTTTTATTTTTATCCATTCTCTTAATAAGTGGGTTAAAACTGTTCATATTTATTGTTAATATTTAACATTTATATTTGTTATTATTTCAACTTATTTTGCATTTCCTGTGTACTATGCTTTTTAGTTGTTGTTTTTTTCTCACTTCTTTTAGGCAGTAAATATTGCTACATTATTTTTATGCAACTGCAGTTAAAAAAAAATTTTTTTACTCACAACAATCCTGAGAACTTGATAATGCAGATATAATGAGCTCAATTTTACTGAGAGAAAATAATATTCACAGAAATTTTCACTGTCCCAAGGTTGTATGGTAGCTGAGTAGACGAGCTGGTAGAATTAACATTTACTGAGTATTATCAAGTGTCCACTTAAAATACAGCATTACTTCAAATAAATGTATGCTGAGTAAGCAAACTCTCTTGTGGCTAAATAGACAGTAAACTATGTTATGCCTAGTAAGTTTTTATGCTCAAAAAAAAAGACCCTGAGGAAAGTGTTTTTTAAAATTTGTTGTTGTAGTTGTTATACTACTTCTTGCTTTTGTTTGGTCATTATTTTGGTTTGATTCTATGAGGAAATTGTTATCTATCCTTGCCCCCATACTCTAAAAAATTCTTGTTAAACAAATGTGCTGGGCCTGATTGTTAAGAAAGGAAACATTTTCTGAGTAAGCAAAATTGTTAAATGTAAAAGAGTATTTGACTGAATTATTTGAATTACCCCATCAATTCAGACCTGAAATCATTTCCGTACTTGTTGCCTTACAAACGTATATTTATTGTTCTGCACCCAACATGTCAAAAACTCGTTTAGCTATTGGCAAACTGTAGGAGGCTAATTATTATATCAATGAAAACATGGGACAGCAATGTAATCCTCATTTTAAAAAATCTGTCTTCAGGAGTTAAAATCCTTCAACGACATTCTTTTGTTTCTGCACAGAATCATGACCAGACATTGTGAGGTAATGCAAAACCCAAGAGAGAAGGGAAACCTGTGTAAGATGAAGAGATAGGTTGGAGGGGTAGCTATGGCGACATAATGCACAATAAGTGAATGAAAAGGAAAGGTGTTAGTCAGATCGCCACACAGAATTAGCAAATGTTAATGAGTTTATTTCCAGTTGAAATAACAACCCAATTTAAGTATCTATAGGAATAAACTAGGAAATTTTCAATGCTCTAGTTAAAATCATACATTAAAAAAACATTATTTAGCTGGTGAAGGAAAGGTCATGAGGGAAAGGTTGGTTTAGAGGTGATGATGGAAACCACAGTCTAACTTACTGGAAAGGATTAATATATAATAAGATGTTTTGTCTGCACTATGGCTTTCTTTCTCCTCCACCTAGCCACCCTCCCTGGAAAGTTGGCTCAGGCTCTCAGCAAGGTTCATGCAGTACTTGCACGGCGAAGCCATTCTTCTATTGAATAGGATGTAGATTTTTTTTCTGGCAATGGTCAGTATCTTCATTGTTTCTAGATATTAACAGTCATGTTTCGGGTTGCATCCTATTAGTTACATAGCACATCCCAAATGTTTCACCACCAAAGGATCTTTTGGTTATCACTACCCACTAACACAATCTCAGGTTTTGAAAGATTTTTGTTGTTGTTGTTCACAAAACAATGACATTTGTTAATTTGTTTTATAATTAAGGACACATATAACTATTAATCTGTCTCCTGTCAGATGAAGTAACATATAAAGATGACATACTTCAGAAACAAATTTGGTATCTTGGGTAGCCTCTACAGCCTGATTGTGGGTGGTCTAGGATTCCATTTGACTTTTTGAAATATTCTAAAGGTTGTGGATTCCCATTATTATCTTCATAGATCCCTTAAGAATTTGGAAACTTTAGGCTGGGAATTCTTGAATTAAGCAGCAGAGCCCTCAGGGACAAAATGCACATAGGTTAGTTGCAAGTGGAAAGGGGGCAGTTAGAAGAGTCCAGAGTATGTGGAGGGGAATTAGGTGTGGACGGGAAGTACCATTCTTACTATCTTCAAACCTGTGTTTTATCTATTAATAGCAACTTCCTTGAGCACTAGAACATTTAAACAATATTAAATGTATCACTTTATCTGGTTTGTTGGTGGTTCCACAATTTTCCCTTATAAAACACTTAAACTAAGTTTATATTTTAAACAAATACCAATTCAGTTCAATTAGCATTTACTCAACATTTACTACATACAAACTATTGTATTAGGTGCTGCAGGTGAGAAAGGAAAAAGGAACTACCGTTATTGAGTACCTCCTGCACAGTTAGGATGTGCTAGGCACACAACCCTTTGAAGTGGATGCAGTTATTTTCATTTATAGATGAAGCTATCTACACTGGTCTTCTGTTATTTTTTCAGACATATAGATATGCTTCTGCCCTAGGGCCTTTACCCTTGCTATTTCCTTGGACATTTTGTATTTGTAGTCATTGTTCAAATATAACTTGATCAGTAATGCTTTCTTTGACCACCCTATCTAAAATTGTCCTCTCCCCAACACATATTCCTTATCCCCCTTACTTGCTTTCTTTTTCTTTATAGCTCTTATTACCATCTAATATACTTTGTATTTACTCTATTTCATTTATTGTCTTCCTTTTTAAAATATTTTTTATTTTTCAATTGTAGTTAACATATCACATTAGTTTCATGCGTACAACAGTGATTTAGACATTTATATAACTCATGAAGTGATCACCCCAATAAATCTAATACCTATCTGATACTATACGTAGTTATTACCATATGATTGACTATATTCCTTATACTTTACATCCCTATGATGATTTTGTAACTACCAATTTGTACCTCTTAATCCCTTCCCGCTTTCACCCATTCTTCCAAACCCCCTTCCGTATGGCAACCTTCATCTCTGTATCTATGAGTTTGCTTCTGTTTTGTTTATTCATTTATTTAGATTCCACATATAAGGGAAAACACATGGTTTTCAAAAAGACATAGGCATCTATATGTTCATTGCAGCATTATTTACAATAGCCAAGGTATGGCAATAACCTAAGTGTCTATCAATAGATAAATGGATAAAGAAGTGGTACTATGTACAATGGAACATTACTCAGCCTTAAGAAATTTTCAAAAAATGAAATCTTGTTATCTGCAACAACACAGATGGACCTAGAGGGTATTAAGCTGCTGAAATAACTCAGCAAAGAAAGACAAATACCATATGATTTCATTTATTATCTTTTTGTCCTGACACGAGGGCAAGGATTTTTGTCTATTTATTCACCAGTGTACTCTCAGCCCTAGAACAATATTTGGTACATAGTAAGTGCTCAATAAATATTTATTGAACAAATGACCTAAAACTCAGAGAATTAAATAACTTTCCCAGGGATAAGAAAATAGTTCTTCATTTTAAAATAATAAACCCCATTTTTTTTCTTTCTTTCTCATTCCTGTATCTAAACATTAGTACAAATAAATGTTTTAAAACAGAAAACAAATAAATAAATAAACGCTAGAATCTCCAATGTTAGTACCGGAATAATAATCTCTTACATTAGAATCATTGTTGGACCAAGTGTGCCATGTCCCCAAGATTGATTACTGCCCCCACCACAATGACCCCAGGGGAGCTGCTCCACCCTTAAACACTGTGGCCTGGTTGTGTGTATAGAATCCTTACTTGTGTTACTCCTCTAGCACAGCTAAGGCAAGGTGTTCAGTGGCAAGGAAGTCATTACTGAAGGCTGAGGGACAATGCAAGTGAAATAAACAGAAACTAACATGGAAATAGATAATCTGATTGAAGAATTTGAGCTTAATCTTCAGGGTGTATGACCTGGTTTTGTGACTGTGCAGTCTTGGGGGTTCCTGTTAATCCCCCCTGGTCTCTTCCCACTTTCTGAAAGGAGCTTCATGATGCATCAATAACAATTTAATTAGGAAGGCCATGTCTTCACATAAGAGTTTGCATGTGCTGTGTCAGGTCTGAATCCTACCTGACACCAGGGCCAGGGCTTATTCTAACATAAAGAGTATAGACCGTATTAAAGAGCTCAGGTACAAAGGAAGCAAGAATTTACACTGGAGTAAAGACAGTCTATTTAATAAATGGTGCTGGGAAAATTGGACAGATACATGCAAAAAAAAAAAAAAAAGAAAATGGACCAGCTTCTTAACAAACACCATATATTGGGTTGTCAGAAAAGTCATGATATATTTTTTTCTATGCTTTTCATTGCAAAAATGCGTCATGACTTTTCTGACAACCCAATACAAGAATAAGCTCAAAATGGATTAAAGACTTAAATGTAAGACCCGAAACCACAAAACTCCTAGAAGAAAATATAGGAAGGAAATTCATAGACATTACCCTTAGTAATATTTTTTAATGATATATCCCCTTGGGCAAGGGAAACAAAAGAAAAAATAAACAAATGGGACTACATCAAACTAAAAAGTTTTTGCACAGCAAAGGAAACCATCAACAAAATAAAAAGACATCCTACTAAATGAGAGAAGATATTTGTCAATGATACATATGTTAAAGGGTTAATATCCAAAATTTGTAAAAAAACTCATTCAACTCAACACCAAAAAAACAAACAATGTAATTAAAAAATGGGCAGAGGACATGAAGAGACATTTCTCCAAAGAGGACATACAGATGGCCAATGGACATATGAAAAGATGCTCAACATCACTGATCATCAGAGAAATGCAAATAAAACCACAATGAGATATCACCTCACTCCTGTCAGAATGGCTATCATCAATAAATCAACAAACAACAAGTGTTGGTGAGGATGTGGAAAAGAGGGAACCCTGGTGCACTGTTGGTGGGACTGCAGATTGGTGCAGCCATTATGGAAATCAGTATGGAGTTTCCTCAAAAAATTAAAATTAGAACTGCCTTATGACCCAGCCATTTCACTCCTGAGTATTTATCCAAAGAAATAGAAAACCCTAATTTGTTTGAAAAAATATATGCAACCCTATGTTTATTGTAGCACTATTCACAGTAGTCAACATATGGAAACAACGGAAATGCCCATCAATAGACGATTGGATAAAGAAATTGTGGTACATTTATATAATGGAGTATTACTCTGCCAAAAAAGAATGAAATCTTACCATTTGCACCAACATGGATGGACCTAGAGAATATTATGCTAAGTGAAATAAGTCAGACTGAGAAAGACAAATACCATATGGTCTCACTTATATGTGGAACCTAAAGAACAGAATAATGAGCAAACAAAACAGAAATAGACTCATAGATACAGAGAAAAAAACTGATGGTTGTGGGGGAGGGGGTTGTCACTTCGAGGGGTAAAAAGTATAACTAGTGCACTGTGTTGTACAGCTGAAACTAATTCTAAAAAATGTGTATTTCATAATAAAAAATAATTTAATCTTAAAAAAACAAAAAAAAACACACAAAAAACTGATGGTTGCTAAATGGGAAGGGGGTTGGGGAATGGAGGAGAAGGTGAAGGGATTAGAAAGTACAAATTGGTAGTCACAATATAGTCATGGGGATGTGAAATACAGTATGAGGGATATAATCAGTAATGTTCTATAGATTATGTAGGGTGCCAGATGGGTACTGGCCTTATTGAGGGGATCACTTCATAGATTATGTAGATGCCTGACCACTGCACTGTATACCTGAAGCTGATTTAGAATAATACTAAATGTCAACTATAATTAAATGTATATAGGGTCACGGGAAGTAAAGTATAGCATAGGGAATATAAGGGTATTGCAACAGCTATATATGATGTCAGAGGGGTAGTAGACTGGGAGGGGGGCTATCACTTTCTGAGGGGTGCAAATGTCTAATCAGTATGTTGTTTTGCACATCTGAAACTAATAAAAAAAACTGAAAAAGAAAAAGAGCTCAGGTAAGTATGAGAGAGAATACTTTTCCTGGTCAACTTTTTTTTGTACATAGAAGCACTTCCTTTGAGCAATTGTCCTGGCCTCTTGCCTTATTCCTTAATTAGACTCCCCAGCAGGTGGGCGCGACATCTGTTTGATGGAATTGGGAGAAAGAACTGGCCCCTTCTGAGTCCTCTTTCTTTGGGACCTGCCTATCTATAGTGATTGTTCTTTGTGATCTGCTTTCTGTCACATAGCAAACATAACCTCTACAGGGGGAGGCTTGCAACTCTGGGAAACAAGTTTAATTAAGACACGTCAGGGATCCACACTGTTTTTAATATAATTTTATCAATAATAAAGTATTTCTGTTTGTCTAATTCCTGTGCCTATTTTTCAGTTAGTTCTTAATTGTGGTGGGCAAAAAGGGGTTATTTATTGGGCCCCTTAAACTTCAAGCAACTACATAAATAATTATGAACTAGAATAATATAGGTGGTGTATTAGTCTGCATAGGATAGGCAATGCTACAGTAACAAACAAACTACAAAACTCTCAATGACTTAATGCAATAAAAGTCTATTTCTCCCTCATGTCAGAGTCCAGAGTGAGTTGGCTGGCATTCCTCTGTCTTGTAGCTATGCCATCTAGAATATGTGGCTTCCAGGGTCACTGCAATAGGGAAAGAGAAATAGAGGTGGCACATAAGCTCTTAAGTGCATTGCCCTGGAAGTGATACCCGACACTAATGCTGAATTTAGACATAACTAGGCATATGGCTCCAGGCAACTGCAAGGGAGGCTGGGAAATGTAGAGGAGCACATGGATGTTTGGAGAATGAACTGTCTCTTCTATAGGTGGATTCAGAACAATTAGGAAAGGTCCAAGGGAGCAGAGTAAGGAAGAAAGGGGGTGAGTGGTACCAAAAGTATATTTTGCCTATTTCATAGTTTTCCCAAAGCCACACGTTCTGTCTGAAATTTATCTGTATAATCTCTTCAGAATCCAGTGTCATCAAGCCATTTACAAATTACCGTAGTATGCAAATTGAGGGGTTTTCACACTAACAAGTGTGCATTTTACCTGTGATCTTCTGGAGACAATATGCTGTTGGCTTTATTGCATATTTATTGTTCTTGTTTCATAATGTTCTATATATTAATGATTCTAGAAGTGAGAATTTGAAGTCCACAATGTTTTTTTAATGCTTTGAACTTTTCAGGACTCTTCAAAGCACATCAAAGACAGTACTGTTTGTTTGTTTTTTTCTCTCTTCAGATGGGATTTGTTTGAGTAGGAGTCATTTAATGCAACCATATTTGTTAAGTGTGCTTCTTTGAATTAATCAGCTGGTATTTGTTAGTTTTTTTTCTAGGAAGAGAATCCAAGATCTTTCTAGGCCCAAAAAACAATGGGGAAGCCCAGATAGGTAAGGCGCTATCATATACATATATTTTTGTTTGTGTTGATATATTCCTTACATTAAATAGGTAAGTATTCTTATCTGCCCAATAACCCTGCATTCCATATGCATCTATCTCTCTGCTCAACTGCACCCACTGAACCAATGTTGTCACTTCAGTTGAGCCAACACATGGAAGCAATACCCTACGCCAGTGGTTCTCAAATTGGTCTGCAAATTGGAACCATCTGGAGACCTTTAAAACGGATGCTTGGGTCTCATCCCCAGAAATCCTGACTTACTTGGTCCGGGTGCGACCTAGGCTTTGGGACTGTTAAAAGATCCTGAGGTGATTCTCATAGGCAGGCAGGTGTGAGAACTACCATCCCCATGGTGTTATTCTATACTCCTTTGAAACTGTTGTGTCCATCCTCCAGGTTGCTGCTTCTAACAGCTGGTATGGCTGTCCCTAAGCCTCTGCCTAGAGCACACCTGTTCTCTGGATCTCCAGCCCACTGGACCCATTGCCCTTCTACCCTTGGCCACAGGACTCCCCCTTTTCCTTCTTTGGCTCTTAAGTAAAGCCTGAATTTTTGTTGTTGTTGTTGTTTTCTTCTGATCCACTACTATTGCTTTTTATTTTTTATTTTTTTATTATTTATTATTATTATATTTTTTAGCTGAGCCATCCTGCCACCTGTTGGCTACTATAGCGGTTTAAAAACAAAAATTAATAGACTCCATTTTTAAAACAGTTTTAGGTTTACAGAAAAACAGCAAAAATACAGAGGGAGTTTCTATTGGGTTGTCAGAAAAGTCATGATGCATTTTTGCAACAAAAAACATAGAAAAAATACGTCATGACTTTTCCGATAACCGAATATATTACCACCCATTCCTCTGGTTTCCACAATCTTTAACATCTTGCATTAGTGTGGTATATTTGTTACAACAGTGAACAAATATTGACACATTAGTGTTAACTAAAATCTACAGTTTACATTAGCGTTCACTTTTTATGTTGTACAGTTATGTGGGTTTTGACAAACGTATAATGTCATGTATCCACCATTACAGTATTATATAGAATGTTTCAGTGCCCTAAAAATAACCTATGCTCCACCTATTCATTTCTTTCCTTCTTCTCCCGCTCTCCAAACTCCTGGCAACTACTGATCTTTTTACTGTATATATCATTTTGCCTTTTCCAGAATGTCATATAGTTAGAGTCATACAGTGTGGAATTTTTTTCTGACTGGCTTCTTTCACTTAGCAATAGGCATTTCAGTTTCCGCAATGTATTTTTATCTTGAGAGCTCATTTCTCTTTAGTGCTGAATAATATTCTATTATCTGGATATAACACCGTTCACTTATGCATTCATCTATTGAGGGACATGTTGGTTGCTCCAATTTTGGGCAATTATGAATAAAGTTGCTATAAATATTTCTGTGCAGGTTTTTGTGTAAATGTAAGTTTTCAGCTCACTTAGTAAATACTTAGGAGTGCAATTGCTGGATCATATGATAAGAATGTATTTAGCTTTGTAACAAACTACTGTCTTCCAATGTGTCTATACAATTTCCACCAGCAAATAATGAGAATTCCTGTTGCTCCATATCTTCACTAGCATTTGGTGTTGTCTGTATTTTGTATTTTAGCTATTCTAATATGTATGTACAGTATCTCATTGTTTTAATTTGCAATTCCCTAATGACATGATGTTAGCAAATTTTTTTCTTTTTAAAGATTTTTATTGGGGAATTGGGGAATGGGGACAGCACTGGGGAATTGGAGGAAGGGGAACAGAAAAGTTTGTGTCCTTTTGTTCTTCAGTCTAGTTGTGGAGGACATTGCTTCACTGGCCCAAGTTGGCACCATCATTGCACTCTTCCTGGGCAAGGCAGATCAGTCGCCGGCCTCTGGACGGCCGCTCACGGCGGCTGCTGGCTGCTCATGCTGGCTGCTGGCTACACACGGTAGCCCATGGCAACCCACTGCAGCAGGGGCTGCAGCCTACGCTGTCGCCGGGGACTCACAGCAGCCCAGCTCCAGGTTGAGCTGTTGTTCAGCATCTTAGCTGTAGAGGGCAGTGTCACTGGCCCTCATATGTGGGATCCGAACCGGGGTCCACTGGCGTCCCAAGCCATCTCTTAACCAACGTGCCACTCAGCTGGCCCTGATGTTAGCATATTTTGTATGCTTATTTGCCATCTTTACATCTTCTTTGGTAAAGTGTCTGTTCAGATTTCTTGCTAACTTTTTAATTGGGTTGTTTATTTTTTATTGTTGAATGTTAAGAGTTCTTCATATGTTTTGAACACCAATCCTTTATCAGATGATATCAACTGAATAGTTATGTCCCCTCAAAATGCATATTTTGAAATCTAATCCCCAATGTGATGGTATTTGGAGGTAGTATCCTTGGGAGATGATTAGATCATGAAGGTGGAGCCCTGATGAATGGGATTAGTGCCCTTATAAAAGGGACCCCAGAGGGCTCCCTCACCCTTTCTACCATGTGAGGACACAAACTTCTGCTTTAGCTTCTTATTCCCCCCTAAGTCATTCTCTCCTCTCAAATCTCTGCTTCACGTCACCATCAGGTGAGTCCCCAGTTTTCACCATTTGTTCATTCATCAAGCCACAATTGAGCACCTGTTGTTTACAGCACTAAACTATGCAAGGGGAAATCTCTAAAAGATTAAGACACAATCTCTCTCTTAGGCGCATATATAGGCTGGAGAGGCAGGTGCTCTTTGTCAAAACTGTGGAGGGCCCTGTAAGCCACAATGAGGAGTTGGGACTTAATTCTAAAATGAATGGAAACCTTTTTAGTGTCTTATACAAGGAAATGACTTGATCAGCTTGGAGTTTAGAAAGATCACTCCTGCAGTGGTGTGGAGAAAGGCGTGTGGATGATGGGACCTGGACAAGGGAGACAGCAACAGGGACGACCAGGTCAACAGGTCTGAGTCACAGTTAGGAAAAGGAGTCAGCAGAGTGTAGGGGGTAAGGATACTTGATTGATTAATAAACATTTCTAATAGTGACTCGCTGATGCTTATGAAGTAGAAACAGAAAGATTATACAAAAATACAGACAAAATTAGAAAAAAGAACAATGACTGGGGCTTTTTAAAGGGATAAGCTCAATTAGCTGGCAAATGCAGTTGTGTGCAGTCAGGTTACTGAGGTGCCTTTTTCTGACTCCTTGGCCAGGCCTTCAAGGCCTTCTTCTGCCTTCCCCACCCATACCAGCAATGTTACTTAGTTACTCCAACGTGACTTTTTGCTTCTGGCCAAACACGCCTGGCACAATACTTGGTTATTCCCATTTCTCATGGCTACCACAACGTGGAATGTGCCTCATTTCTGGCGTTCTGTGCCTTCTACTTTCTTCCATGAAGCCTTGTAAGCTTAACCCTGGACTGATCCCTCCTTTTCTCTTCACCCCTGCACAGTAATCGTACCTATTTTGCAGGGCTGTGGAGACTAAATAATCTGATGTCTCTAAAGCACTTAGCCCAGTGCCTGGCCCACAAATGATAGCTACTAATATTACTCTATTACTCTTTTATTTTCTGACCACCTGGTACCGTGCATCACCCAAAGTGAGAGCACAGCATAGAGAGGTGATATGCCCATTTTATGTTAACCTGACTGTAAATTATAGTGTCAATTACATGATGGCAGACACAGAACTATCTCTAGTAGGTTCATTTTTGGTAACCACATTTTAGGATAGCAAATAAAAGAGTCTTATTGTATTTTAACTTGTGTAAGTAGCTTATCTGCTTCTGATACCTGAAAATTTTTAAAGTTCTGTAATAGAGATAGTTCTTAAACTGAAGTAAAATCAGTAGAGAAGCCATCAAGAGCCATTTCTAAGATGTCGACTAACAGTAAATTTCTTACCATTTTATATTTTCTGCTTTTAAACAGAAAACTGTATTGGGGAAATCAAGATCCTATATGCCCTGTGTCCCAGAGTGTTTTCAAGGCTCAGCTGACCAAAAGACTTGAGAACCTTGCAGAGCCCAAGAAAGTCTCCTACCAATATGTACCTAACAGGTTAGTATTGTATGTTATTAGGTTATTTTATCAGGAGTCTCTAGGGAAAATGAACACAGAACCCAGCCTTTTTATCTACAAGCCATAAATAGTCCTGTAGTCAAAATTTATTGAGGATTAGGGATTCTATATCTGTTTCCAATCTGATGCTATCGTGAAATTTTCCAGCCCAAGATCTGGATATATTTAGCTATTGCAGACTTGTTTTGTGTCTTATAATGTCTTTTGCACTTATCAGGATTTATATTTTTTTAATGAAGTAAGGGTGTTATGCAAGGATATATACCATGTATAGCACTGTTGTGGATGAACTTATTTGTGCATGAAACTATGAATTCTATATACCACCCATGGGCTCGATTACCATGAGTTTATTAGGGCATCTAAAAGCACTTGATGCCCATTGCCAATTTGTTTTTAGCACATGTTTGTTGACTAGGCTTTCTGCTGGTTGGCTCTTTGAGGAAAGACTTTGGGGATGGGATAGGCAGGGGACAGGAACAGGCAGTGAGGGAGATCAAAGTAAAGAAAAAGGTGAAAATACTATTATTTATCTGAAGTTTGGTTTTCAGGATAATTGAGGTGGCCATTTCTCTATCTCTTTCAATATATAACTTTAGTCAAGAGTCAACACTTTTTCTGGAAGGGGCCAGATACAAAGTTGGCCACAAAAATCTCTGTTGCAACTACCCAACTCAGCCATTAAAACAGGAAAGCTGCCACAGACATATGCAAACAGACATGTCTGTGTTCCAATAGAACTTTAGAATTTTTGCATCTATGTTATCGAGGGATATTGATCTGCAGTTTTCTTGTAATGTCTTTGTGGTAATGCTGTCCTCACAGAAGCAACTGGAAAATGTATAGAATTGATATTGATTTCTTCTTTAAATATTTGATAGAATTCCACCAATAAAATCATCTGGGCCTGGAGTTTTTTGGTGGGAAGGCTTTCAACTTTAAATTCAATTTACTTAATAGATATAAGGCTATTATGAATTTGTCAAATTAACATTTGTTAAGTGGAGCACAGGGTGCTGGATGGTGAACTGCAGTACAATAATAAACCATAAAGGAAAATAAAATTGACAAGTTTATTACTCACAGGTCCTAGAGGAAGTACCTAGCATGCCTCAAGATCAGGTCAAGGAAGAGTTTCAGACAGACAGAGACAGAACCTGGGACACAGGCTTTTATAAGGGTCTATTGGTAGAGTGCTTTGGGGTTTCTGGGCTATGGCCAGATTGGTCAATTCAAACCAAAAGAGTGGGATTTAGATTAGTTCTTCAGGGCTCTTATTTAAGGGGCACATAAGGGGAAGGCATTGGGAGTCAGGGGAGACTGTTGGTCCAAGGGCTGTTGGGTGAAGTCATATCGGGAACTAGCATTTACTTGTGACTTAGTGAGCTATTTAAGGCATGTGCTTGCATAAGGGAGTAGTATCAGTGTCTCACTGCAGGCTGCTTGGCCAAATAAAATGAATGCCAAAGCTGCAGTACTATGGAGTAGCTTAGCTAAACTCTTGACAAGGGCTATTTAGATTATTTCTTTCTGAATGAGCAGAGGTATTGTGTGTCTTTCAAAGAATTTATCCATTTCATCTAAGTTTTAAAATTTGTTAGCATAAAATTGTTCACACATTCTCTTATTTTCCTCTTAATAGCTCAGCAGTAAAGAGGTGAACTGTCATGCCCACTCCCCTAGACCTGGGGGTCAATGTTGGAAATTACTATGATAATTTGAATTGATGCTTGTTTTACTCACTTCTTTTCTCTTCTACAACTTGCAGGGCTCAATATTATTACAGCTGTGGTAGAGAGTCTGTAATCTGGGAGATCCCCTCTACTGTACTGTTTAGAAAACCTTCCGAAAAGATCCAGAAGCTGGCACAGCCCAACAGATTCAAGAAAGTGCATCTATTAAATAGGTAGAGTACCTTGAGAGTCTCCATAAATTCTACTCTCATTTGGTTTAATGTCAGAATATTTTTATTTGTGTGTTAGTATATGCAGTTTCATAACCTAAAAGTCCACTTGTGTTTCAATGGATCAGGCTAAAAAATAAAAATTTTTCAGCAATTATAGGTAATCAGAAGATCTTCATCAATAATTACATTTGACTCAAATTATGGTGAAGTTAAAATTCTCATTAAACTTATCATTGTTGACTAATTAAAATGAAATATGCAAATAAAAAATTATAGATTTTTGCAATTCATAGAACTTGATGTTCTCTTATACCTCTGTGACTTTGCACATGATCTTCCTTTTGCTTTGAATGCTGAATTTCTCCTTGTCTTTAAAAGATACCTTAGGTGATATCTTCCACATGGGAGCTACAATTGTGGTGTAGTTGTTGGATAAATATTAGATTGCATTAGTGGAATATGTACAGTGTACAATTACAGAAAGGTGATAGTACTACTGTATGCTAGTTTAGTCAGAACACATTAGGTGTATGTGTCCATTTATGGATGTTATACCTTAAGAAACTGATAATAAATTTGAGACTATTCAGAAAGAGATGAATGAGATGTTGAGTTTTTGGGAAACTGTGTTATATGAATAATAGTTAAGATAAAGAACATATTTAGCTTAGGGAAGAGACCAAGGAAGCAGTGATAGCTGTGTTCAAATGTTTAAAGGGTCAGCATCTGAAAGAGGAAGAGGAGGTGGAAGTAAAATTACTTTATATTGATCCTAGAAGTAGAATAAGGAAGTTATAGAGCAGCAGATGTCAGCTAAGTGTAAGAAAATCTTTCTGACTAGCTACCTATCCAGTAAAGGAAACATTTATCAGGAAATGTCAACTGTCATTCCACCCCAATTCCTGAAATTGCTCAAGCACAGGCTGGAATGATGACTTTACATGGATTTTTAGTAAAGATTGCCTCATTCAGAGAGAGGTTGAACTGGACAACTTAAGTCTTTTTCCATGTTAGAATCCAGCAAAAGAAGCCTAATTTCTCCCTTAAAATTTCTCACTTTGCTTATCATTTCATTAAAAAAAATTTGCTAATTTACTTAAAATATACTTATAAATTTGTTACATATTTGATCTATACTGGGGGTGCCGAAAACATGTATGAATATACACATGACTTGTATTCATCTTTTGTTATCGGTATATATTGAGTATTACAATTTTAATACAGTTTTTTCCTTTCTTAAAATTTATATACATTTTTTTGGCACCCTCTGTATATATCAGAGGAATACTTTATTTATCTGTCACCACTTTTTCAGATACCTAAGTTTGATGTTTCATATAAGTGAAACCCCTTTGAGTGTTGAAACGTTTTGTTGGGGGGAATAGTCTATAACCAGCGTCTTTTCTGATTTTCTGTGCACTGGAAACAGATAAGCAAGCTTGTTAGAATTGTGTGTGTGTGTGTGTGTGTGTGTGTGTGTGTGTGTGTGTGTGTGTGTGGCAGGGGTGGTGGTGAGGGCAGCAGTAGGGAAATGCAAGTGCTTAGTGAAGACACAGGACTCACCAGCATGTGTACTGCATGAACTTCGTGGCATATAGTTTAGCTGATTCACTAGAAGGGCTCAAGAGCAGATTTGAGCAATCAGAAGAAAGAATTAACCAACTTAAAAATAGGTTAATTGAGATGATCAAGTCTGAAGAAAAGAAAGAATGAAATAAAGTGAACAAACCCTCATAGACCTGGGGAACATACTCAAGAGTATCAACATATCCATGATGGTAACCTCATAAAGAGGAGAAAGACAAAGAGGCAGAAGGAATATTTAAAGAAATCATGTCCAAAGCTTCCCAAATTGGATGAAAAACAATATACACATCCAAGAAACTAAAAAACTCCAACATGATAGACTCAAAGAAATCTATAACTTGACACGTCATAATCAAACTTTCCACAGCCAAAGACAAAAAGAGAGTCTTGAAAGAAGCAAGAGGGAAGTGACTCATTACATACAAATGTTCTGCAATTAGAATAACAGGTGATTTCTCATCAAAAACCATAGAGGCAAGAAGGCAGTGGGATGACATATTTAACACTGAAAGAAAAACAATGTTAGCTAAGAATACTCTATCTAACAAAACTATCCTTCAAAAAATGGAGAAATGAAGACATGTCAAGAAAATAAAAACAAAATTCATTGCCAGCAGACTTGCTTTACAATAAATACTAAAAGGAGTCCTTCAGGTTAAAACAAAAGGACACTAGGCAATAACTAAAATTCACATGAAGAGGTCCGGCTGAGTGGTGCATTGGTTAAGAGCTGGCTTGGGATGCCAGAGGGCCCCATTTTGGATCCCACATATGAGGGCCAGTGACACTGCCCTCTACAGCTAAGATGCTGAACAACAGCTCAACTTGGAGCTGGGCTGCCGTGAGTCGCCGGCGACGGCGTAGGCTGCAGCCCCTGTGGCAGTGGGTTGCCATGGGCTACCGTGTGTAGCCAGCAACCAGTGTGAGCGGCCAGCAACCGCAGTGAGCGGCTGTCCAGAAGCCAGCGACTGATCTGCCTCGCCTGGGAAGAGCGCAATGATGGTGCCAACTTGGGCCAGTGAAGCAACGTCCTCCACAACTAGACTGAAGAACAAAACAACAGCAACTTTTCTGTTCCCCTTCCCCCAATTCCCCAGTGCTGTTCTCATCCCCCAATTCCCCAATAAAAATCTAAAAAAATAAAAATAAAAAATAAAAAAAATATAATAAAATTCACATGAAGAAACAAAGGGCATTAACAGAGTTAACTACATAGGTAAATACAAAGACAAAGAAGGACACTTTATTTTATTTTTTAAATTTTTAAAAAAGATTTTATTGGGGAATTGGGGGAGGGAAACAGCATTGGGAAATCAGGGAAGGGGAACAGACAAGTTGCTGTCCTTTTGTTCTTCAGTCTAGTTGTGGTGGATGTCGCTTCACTGGCCCATGTTGGTATTATCATTGCGCTCTTCCTGGCTGAGGCAGTTGCTTGCCAGCCATTGGATGGCTGCTCACAGTGACTCACGAATGCTCACGCCCACTGCCGGCCAGCCCCACTGCAGCCTACGCTGTCACCAGCCACTCACGGCAGCCCAGCTCCAGATTGAGCTGTTGTTCACCATTTTAGCTGTAGAGGGCGCAGCATCACTAGCCCCCATGTGGGATCCGAACTGGGGCCCTGCTGCTCAGAGCTGGCATCCCAAGCCAACTCCTAACCAACATACCACTTGGCCGGCCCCAAAGAAGGACACTTTATAATAATAAAATGGTCACTTCATTATGGACATATATCAATTATAAACATATATGCACCTAACAACAGAGCCCCAAAGTAGATGAAACAAACCTGATAGAATTGAAGAAATAGGCAAGTCAACAATAATAGTTGGATTCTTCAATACCCCACTTTCAGTAATGGGAAGAATAACAAGCAGATTATCAACAAGGAAATAAAATGTGTGAACAACATTATGAAGCAACTATACCTAACAGATGTTTATGGAACATGCCACCCAACAATAGCAGAATATACATTTTTCTCAAATGGAACATTCTCTATGATAGATCATGTATTAAGTCATAAAACAAGTCTCAATAAATTTAAAAGAATTGAATTAATATAAAATTAGTTTGCTGACCACCAATGAAATGAAATTGGAAACCAATAGCAGAAGGAAATTTGGAAACTTAAAAAAAAAATCTGAAATTAAATACATTCCTAAATAAACAATGGGTCAAAGAAGAAATCACAGGGAAAGACAACAGTGGGTCAAAGAAAAAAAATCACTTTAATATTAATAAAAATGAAAACAAAATATGAAAACTTATGCACCTAAAGTAGTGGGAAATTTTAGCCATAAATGCCTACATAAAAAAGAAAAAAGATCTGAAATTATAATCTAATCTATCTTAAGAAATTGCAAATAGAAAAGCAAACTAATTTAAAACAAACTGAAAGAAGGAAATAATAAAGATTAGAGTGGAAATAAATGAAATAGAATTTTGAAAAACAAAAAATCAACAAAACCAAAAGTTGGTCCTTCGAAAAGATCAACAAAACAAACCTTTGGCTAGACTGACCAAGACAAAAAGAAGACTCAAATTACTAAATTCAGGAAAGAAAGAGGGGACCGTTCTAAGGGTCATTTACAAAAGAAGGGTCATTACTACCGACCTTATAGAAATAAAAATGGATTGTAAGGGGTTACTATGAGCAATTGTATGTCCAACAAATTAAACATTGTAAATGAAATGGACAAATTTCTAGAAAGACAAACTACTGAGATTGATTCAATAATAAAACCTAACAGACCTATAACAAGTAAAGAAATTGAATTAATAATTTAAAAATTTTTCCATGAACTGCTCAGGACCAGGTATCTTCATTGATGAATTTTATGATATGTTTAGAGAAGAATTAATGTCAATCCTTCAGACTCTTCAAAAAAATGGGACACTTCCCAACTCATTCCATGAGTTCTATGTTACCCCGATACCAAAACCAGAAAAGGCCATTACAAGACAAGAGAATGACAGACAATATTTCTTACAAATATATATGTAACAATCCATACCAAAATATTACTAAAACAAATCTAAATATACATGCAACAATCCACACCAAAATACTAGGAATCCAAATCCAACAACATATAAAAAAATTATACAGCATAAGCAAATTGGCTTTATCCCAGGAACACAAGAATATATTGGATTCACCATATTAAAATGAATGTAATACATCAAATTAATAGAATAAAAAACAAAAACCACATGATCATCTCAATAGATTCAGAAAAAGCATTTGACAAAATTCAACGCACTTTCATGATAAAAATGCTCAACAAATTAGGTATAGAAGGGAACTTCCTCAGCTTGTTAAAAGGCATCTGCTAAAACCCCACAGCTAAATCATAATTAATGGTGACAGACTAAATGCTTTCCTCCTAAGATCAGGAATAATACAAGGATGTCAGCTCTAACCACTTCTATTCATCATCATGCTGTAGATTCTAGTCAGGGAAATTAGGCAAGAAAAAAAAGAAAAGGCATTCAGGTTGGAAAGGACGAAGTGAAACTAACTATTCATAGATAATGTGATTGTTTTTTTATACAGAAAATCTTAAGGCATCCACATAAAAATTATTACAGCTAATAATAATGCTTTTTAAACTGTAGGTCTCAACCCATCAGTGAATCATGAAATCAATTCCAGATTTTCTTTTAATGATATTTTAAAAATCTGAATACATTGTGTAGGGCAATCATTGTTTCATGATAATTTTGTTTCAGATACACAGATTTATCTATACTATATCACAATATAAAATGTACTTATTGTGGATCACAGTAAAAATTTTTTTGAGAAACACCAGTCTAATAATTATGGAAAAAGAGGCTTCTAACATAGAAGATATATATATATATATATATATATATATATATATCTCCATGTGTATATATATTGGGTTGTCAGAAAAGTTATGACATATTTTTTCTGTTTTTTGTTGCAAAAATGAGTCATGACTTTTCTGACAGCCATATATATTTGTTTGGAGGTTGATTATAGCAATGAAAAATGCAGTTTTTATTCCTTCAATGATTATAATATTTTATATTCCATTTGCACATAGGTTCTTCAATGATTACTTAATGAGAGATTCTCTTCAAATCTCTGCTCCTTCTCCCCGGATATTACAACTCTCAAAAGCCAAAGGCGCAAATCCAAACTATGTTCCTCCAAAAAGTGTAAGTGGATCCATTGAAAGAAACAGTTCCTGATTGACTTTGTACCATGTAACATGTTTGTAACTATAACATGCTCCCCTTTTATTTCTAGGTGTGTATTTCCCTTTTCTTCCTCTTTATTTTCTCTTCTCATCAAATGAACTTTTCTGACTACCTCCTGTGTGCCTCATGTATCAGTCAGGATTTGATCAGAGAACCAGAACCACTATGAGTAATATAGAATTAGAACTTAAGCAATTAGAGGTGCTGATGGAGAAGTGTACGGAAGGCTGTTATGGCACCTAGAACTTGGGTCTGGTTATAGATCTAGAAGTGATGAGATGTACAGTAGTGGTGGTAGGTCAGCAGCTCCCTGGAAGGTATTTACTTCAGGGGAAGCATTACAGTTTCTTCAAGCAAGGGGAGTCTAACCTCTTCAGACAGGGGAGGAAGAGCTGATTCAATTGGTAAGGAAGGCTCTGCAGTATTTAGGGATTTAAAGTATTTAGGGGTTCATTGGAATCTGCACATGTGTCCCCATTCTAATTTTCAAGGTCCCATTACTTCCTGATCATTGCCCTAACTTTAATATAGGAGACCATACAAGTTTGGGAATTCAATTTTCACTGTAATTCATCCACTTGTGGAATTAGATTTTGGGTTTGGTTTTCAGAATTTTCAGCCCTGTAACCATAGAAGATAAGGGTTTCTTTTAGGCAAATCACAAAAACTTTCTGGTCTCCTACCCACACCTTAAGGTGGGAATTGAAAGGCTGGGGCTGATCCTGTCTTTCCTCAACTTCTCAAGTGCGCTTAGTAGCAACCAACGAACCCCTCTATGCTTCTTTATTTTACTAAAATGTTCTCTGCTGCTTATCACCCAGTCTTGCCTTCTGTTTTGCCACTGGGTGACATGGACAACCAGTGTCCTTTTTTTTTTTTAAATTGTTGGCAATATCATTAATACCTTTAAATCTAATCAGCTCAGGAAACAAATTCTAGATAACCTAAAACCAATACAGAGAACTTATCCTTAAAGTTCTGATCTGGTTATCTGTTGCTTCATAACCAAACCACCCCCAAACTTAGTGAGGTAAAACAACCACCATTTTATTATGCTCAAGGATTTTATGAGTCAGAAATTCTGACAGGGCAAACAGGTTTGTTTCTGCTCCATGGTGTCTGGGGCCTCAGCTGGGATATTTCTAATGACTCAAGTGTCTGAAGTGGTCGGGGGCTGGAATCTCCTTTGCATCTGTCTTAGCCATCTTAAGCTGCTAATTTAACACCATAACTGGGTGGCTTAAACAACAGTTCTGGAGTCTGAGAAATCCAAGGTCAAAGTACCAGCATATTCTCTTCTTTGTGAGGGTCCTATTTCCAGCTGTAGACAGCCACCATCTAGCTGTGTGCTCACATGACCCCTGCTTTGTGAGCACACAGAGAGAGTTCTGATCTCTCTTCCTCTCATAAGGAACCAATCCCATTGTGAGGGGTCCATCTTCATGACCTCATGTAAACCTCCCAAAGGCCCCACCTCCTAATACCATCATATTGGGGGTTAGGGCTTCAACATGTGGGTTTTGGGTGAGGGGGACATAAACATTCAGTCCTAACAATACCTATGTATGGTGTTTAGACTGGGATAACTTGAAGGCTAGGCTCTGTTGGGAATATCTACAGGAGCACCTTTATATGGCCTGTCCACGTGGCTTAGACCTCTTTCAGCATGGCAGCTGTATTCTGAGAAGGAATATCCTAAAACGGAGCTCCCACGGATGAGCATTCCAAAAGAACCAGGTAGAAGCTGTATGCTGTTTTATGATTTGGCCTTGGAAGTCATACAATGTCACTGCAGTCATAATCTGTGGATTAAACGTTATGAGTCTGGCCAGATTAAAGGGGGCAGGTACACAAACCCCACCTTTTGATGAGAGAAGTGGCAAAGAATTTATAGCCACTTAAGAAGAAAAAAACTGCCACACCCAATGATGTAAGTCTTTTGGTATCCTTGAGCGTGGTTTTTGAATGCAGAAAAGACAGTTTAGAGGTATGTTCCTGATTTAAATAACTAATAGTCAATTTAAAATATTCCAAATTTAAAAAATTCTATTTCTTTCTTAGACTTTAAATTTAAGTTTAGCTTGGAAGTTTTATTATTCTATCTCTAATTCTAACAGTTCTTAACAATGATTTTTAGAAGTCCTGAATAATGTTTGGTTTGTTTTTTCAAACAATTAAATACCTTCAAGTACTTTAACCTGTATTTATAAATATATTAAATTTGATCTTTTTAAAAATATTTTATTTCATCCATGTACATTAACAAACAAAACTTTCTCAAATATTACATAATTATTTAAAAATATAATACATTAAGAGGCCGGCCGAGTGACTCAGTTGGTTAAGAGCATGAGCTCTGAGCAACAGGGTCGCCAGTTCTAGTCCCACATGGGCCAGTGAGCTGCGCCCGAGCTGAGCTGCCACTGCAATGGTGAGAGCACGTGCTCTTAGCAGCAAGGTTTTCCAGTAGGAGTCCCATGTGGGATGGTGGGTTGCGCCCACCCACAACTAAGACTGAACATAGCACCTTGAGCTGAGCAGCAGCAGCTGCCCACGGGCGACCAGATGGCTCAGTGTGCAACAAGGTTACCAGTTCAACTCCCACATGGGATGGTGGGCCATGCCCCCTTTCACTAAGATTGATCAGGGCGCCTGGACTTTGAGCTGAGCTTGCACCCTCCACAACTAAGATTGAAGGACAACAACTTGACTTGGAGCTGATGGGTCCTGGAAAAACACAATGTTCCCCTTCCACAATTCCCCAACACTGTTCCCCTCCCCAATTCCCCAATAAAAATCTTTTTCTTAAAAAAAATCTAATACATTAAACTTATAAATATGGTGAACCTAAAGTTTTTTAACATAAGAATGACATAGACTTAAGAATTCAACTTAATATCATAATTCTAAATCATCCTCAATTATATATACATTTTAAATTGCAGTTGTAAGGTTATTGTTCTAATAGGCCAAATTCTCTTAAACATGTACATACTTTTGATTTTAATAGTATACATATACTTTTTGTTTTAATAATTTAAAATTTACTGAAAAGTTGCAAAAATTAACATTTTTTCCTTTGGCTTTATCATTCTCTCTTCTCTGTGATGTGTGTGTGTTTATTTAAATTTTTTTGAATCGTGTATCATTTTTGAGAGTAAGTTACAGATATCATGTACCCTTTTTTCCCTAAATACTTCTATATGTATTTCTTAAGAACAAGGACATTATCTTATATAACCAGAATACTACTATCAAAGTCAGGAAATCTAACATTATTATAATATTCTACCTACTTCCTGGTCCATATTCCAATCTTATCAATTCTTGCACATACTTATACCTAACTCAAGTATTAACTCTATGATTTTGATTCTCTTAGCTTTTTTACAGTTAATTTTAAATCTTCCCAGAATTTAAAAATAACACATGCTCACAAAGGAAGTCAAGTTACTCTCACAGGTACTTGAGTTACTTGCCACCAGAGTTTGGATAAACTGTGGGAAGTCCTTTTACCTCTCTGAATGTCATAAGGAGTCTCTTTTTATGGTAACTTTGTCAAGACTACAGAACTTAGAAAAGGAGTTGGTTTCATAGCTCACTTAGCCTCTACTTAACAGATGTCAGGAGCTCTAACTCAGTCAGACTTAATATACCTGTTTGAAGTTTTTAAAGTCTTTGACTCTTGATAGATTTTGACTTTTAAGACTCTTACTTTATATCTAACAGACACCTCTTAGTATTACGCACATGTGCTCTGGATGTCTCACGTGGCTTCGTCTGACTTGCTGTACTAATTTATGAGGGAATTCTACCAACATGTCTCTCCTCCATCATTCTCAATCTCTGATTATTTTCTGAGAATAAAAATTGTAGAAGTAAAATTACTGGATCAAGTGTGTGAACATTTTTGATGTGATTCATATAAAATCCCAAAATGTGTTCCAACAAAAGTGATTTTTATTTACATATTTACTTACAATATTTGGGTTGTCTTTTTAAACTGCACTCTTGCCAACATTAGATATTATTTATTTTACATAATATTAATTTTATAATAAAAATGTCTCAATATTTTTGCAATTTATTTTTATTTTTCAAATAATTAATTCCTTAATCTTTTGAAGTATATTTTTATATAAAATAGGGGTAAGACTCCCCTCTATTACCCCAGCCTTTATTTATTCACTGCTAGAGTTATTATATACCATAATGTTATTGATACAAGGGCAATGGTTTTCAAAAATGTAGCCTAACTATTTATAAAGTTTCCCAGATCCTTTTAAGTAATCTGCAAGGTCAAAATCATGCCAGAGTACAAGGTTCATTCAATGTGCAAGATAGACCAATGGATTTTAAGGTAATAGACGGTGAAAAGTTCCTTGACATAGTTTCATTCAGATTGTACATTGCAGCTAATATTTAAGAAGCTACCATTTGTCAAGTTTCATTGCAGTATCAAAGAAGAATATGCACAATCATGTGAAAAGGCTGTTTAATATGCATCTCTATATAACTACTGTGTGAGGCTGGATTTTCTTCATACACTTCAACCAAAACAAATGTCCTCTTAAGTCAGATATTAAGGAGATTTGCAAAAATGTAAAATACCAATTTTCTCACAATTTTTTGTTTGGGGAAATATAGTTATTTGTCATAAAAATATGTATAGTGACATGTAATGGATTTATTTTTTTTAAGATTGATAAATTTTCTTACATGTCTCAGTCTTTGGGCACCATCAGTTAACTTTTAAAGAGTATAAAGGGGCTCTGGACCAAAAAAACCTGAGTCACTGTACTAGATTATTTTTCTGAATTCTCTATTTACTTTGATCTATTCTTGTACAAGTATCATTTTGCTTAAAATATTGTAACATTAAAAAATATTTTAGAATGAGGTAGGGTATATATACCCTTATTTCTCTGCCTTTGGCCATAACTTTCTTATTGTCCTTC